GTGTTAACTTAAATTTAACTGATTCTTCCCATGTTTTTGTCAATGCTGATTTAAGGGGAAAATGTGTTTAATGTCACTTCAGTGGTTTTCAACCTTTATGACTAGTCCCCACAACAAAGGCCCCATTATATTTTCCTGTTTGTGTTAAGATTTATACAAAATATTTTATTCACAGTTTCTTCCCAATATTTTAGACTTTGGCATAACTAGAAACATTTATTTATTTATTTAAAATTATTTACACCATTTGTAACTACATCACACTTCATCATGCAATTTGATATAATACTACCACTATTTTACACAGAACATTAAAAAAAAATGTAGATTAAAAAATGCCCACAATGTTCAAAGCTCCACAAAGATTGTATTGTTCCAGTTCTAGAAATCACACTTTTAAAATCAGGATATATTATCATACAGGTTTTTACAGTTGAAAAAGCTAGTTGTTTTGACTTATTTTAAATCATTTTAAGTCATCTTGAGGTCTCTTTGGAAGTTTTCTGAGGCCCCTTAGTGGGCCCCAGACCCCTCGTTGAGAATCTGTCACATACTGTATGTCCTATTTAGCAGATATTTTGACAAAAACATTAAAAATGTGAAAGCTAAGTGAGCTATAATTGGATAAAATAGCTATAATCTAGAGAGGACTGTTTGAGTGATTCTGTTCAGAAATAAGGATTAGTTTTTCTTTGGCCAATGAAAGTAATCATTGTGATTGCTCAGACTGCATTTGAAACGTTCTCTCTGAGGTTAATTTATTATTATTATTATTATTATTATTATTATTATTATGCAGCCTTACGAGAATGTCATGCCTGCTTATGGGTCAGATGACCTGCTGTATTTGTACGAGTACTCCTATTCCTGTGTCCAGTTGTGTGAGAGAGGATGTGTTGTCTGGACTGTTTGTGCCTAACCAGGTAGGAGACCGTGGGTTTTGTGCTGGAAAGGTGCTAGTATGTCCCAGAGGACAAACAGCCCTATTGTTCCTGAGTGATAGGAAGAAGGAACGACGCCTGCCGGCCTCTCTCAGCCCCTCAGTCAGGATGTCTACAGCCTCTCTGCACAATTACAGCATAATTATTCACTATAGATTCCCATCAGCGACAGAAACAATGGAGGGACACTCAAAATCCTCGCCTTTCCCATGAGCTCAACTGTTCAGTTCCCACAACCATTTCTTCTGTCCCTCTTTGAATCTTTTTAGATAGTTAGAAAACTGACTTCCATTTCTCTCAGTATGGCCCCCTAGGGTCTTATCAATACCCCATTGTCCCATTCCAATTGTGTGTCCTACCACTTATTTTGGCACAAAAAAATAAGTTATTATGGTTCCTGATTATTATATTCAAAAATAATCATGAAGTTCAAATATTGATTATGAATACTGTATCTTACGGTAATGGTGGAATTCATCACAATAATATAATTTGTGAAAAAGTATCATTTTTTTGAAGGTTTGAAAAAAATACCACAAGTGCCTGATTATTTTTGAGCACAAGGTATTGTTTTTAATTACTTTTAGTATTATTGTTTTTTATAAAAAGGAGATCCAGGAGATATTATGATTCCTGTTTATTATTGGCAAGAAATAATCATGAAGTTCAAATATTGATTATTAATACTGATACTTACATTTGTGGTGGAATTTGTCACAATAATGCCAATTATGGAAAGAAAACCTGCCACAAATCCCTGATATTTTTAGCATTAGGCATTGTTTGTCATCAGTTTCATTATTGCTTTAAGCTTGAAACCCGAGTAATGGTTTATAGTCGGGAATTATTTGATCAATGACTCATGTCTGTCTTGTATGACTGTGTACTATCTGATCAGCTCCTTATCCAGATAAAGAAGCAATGTACTCTGACTAATCTGTTTCTCTCTTTGAAATAAGCTGTTCATATGGTGATGTAATGGGTAAAAAATGAAAATCTCATAGACTTAAACTGCAAACCCAAGCCATATACTGTATACTGTACAGAATAGCATAGAGACTGGTGGAGAGCTGCTTAAAATACCATAGCAACCATATAGCAATGCACGAAAACTCATCAAAAACACCTTGGTAATTATATAGCAACACTCTGGCAGCATGTTGTATTGGCAGTTGTGTATGGGTAAGCACCATTACTATTGTATAGATTATAGAAACATATTTTATTGAAAAATAATTTCATGTTGTATTGTACTTGCACGCAGTTCACAGTTTGAAGAGCTGATGACATCATGGAACTGCTGCAGGTGGGATTTTACCAAAAAACAATGTAACAATGCCCACCGTTTTTCCATTGTAAGGTTGAACAAGCCTGAACAGCCAGTGCCTGGAGTGACCAATGGAAAAATCAGGGAGCAGATACAAGTAACAAGCCTATTTCCTCCAGGTTGTTTAAATTAAGGATCCAGTTATCCATTATTTTTTTGGCTACCTGATAGCTAGACATTTGTTCTATGAACTAAGATACTTCAGTTTTAATGGTTGTGACATAACACAAATACTTAGACATTTTCAACATATCTTCCAAAGAAAGAATGCCGTACAGGTTTGGAACAACATGAAGATAAACAAACATCAGAATTAAAATTTTTGAACATTAGTTTAGAAACTTTAGATCATTAGTGTGATTTTCTCTGTTTTTAGGCCTCTGTTACTTTTGTGGATTTTTTGACTTCTTGTTATGGCTATCATTGAGAAGACAGTTTTTAATCAGTTCAGCTGGCAGGAAATACATGTGTCCGTTTTGTACTGCATACATTGGCATATTTGCCTGATACTGCGGCCTTTAGACCCCCTACAGAAAGAAGTTTGGCACTCAGGTTTAAGTCCCCATGGGAAGCAGGTTGACTGGCCACTCGAAGCCACCTCTCATCCAGAAAACACCCACACACGTCCAAGCCCAGCACATACTGCAGCTTCTAAGGTACGTACAGTTCATAGAGTGCTTTAAAACCTGTTTGTTTTTTTCTGTCTGAGGCTGGTAAGCAGGCAAAGGGAAATGCATCAGCGTTTGGAACAACAATATCAGGATGCAGGGAGCGACCCGCAAGAGTGGCAGCTCATTTTAATTGGTGCTACTCTGTGCAAATCACCTAAGGGCATGCGGGCAGGCAGTGTCCCTGCTGGGTTTCACAAATAGAATGACCTTTGTGACTGTATTCAGCAACGTAACCTCATAATAGCTTGAAGAGAGCAGGCATCCATGACTTGTTGGGTTTTTTTCGTATCTAAAATGACAGACATCTGTTTGGCTTGTTAAAACAACTTTGCTGGTCTGTTTGATGCACGTGTGGGCATATTAAAGCACAGCTGGCATGGTTCAGCTTTTGTAGGTGGTAGGCGGAAGAAAAACAAAAGGAAACACTGCAGAACAAGGGCTTTTTTCCAACCTAAACGGCTCTATCAGATGGAGAGAGTTTGACAGTCTACCAGTCAGTCTCTCGTTCACTCTTTCTCTTTTGCAGCTGAGGGGAACTAAAGAGGTCAGCCCTCACCAGCTGTTTGCTGACCCACACATCTTGTGTAGCACCTCTAAAACCTTGTATTGGCAAGAGACGAAAGGCTAACCGTTCGTGCAGGCCAGTTGTGATAGAGAGAACTATGCATTGGGCAAAGACTACAGGTTATGGTTGGCCACCCCACAAGCACAAGACTCATTCATCTTTCATAGACTGGAGCCCAACGGCGCAGATAACACCCTCTAATAAAACACAATTTCCATTAGCCAGCAAAGCATACCTTTTGAAAGGAAAAAAGTTTTGTTTTTTTTATTATTCTCGTTGTATTGTTTTGATTTGACCTTTTCCTTAAGAAACTGTCCCACCTTTTAAATTACCCATCATTCCCTTTTTCCTGTTACAGAAAAGTGCTTATCATTGTTGAAACGGCTTAACATTGCTAAAAATGACTGCTGCGGAATGTGCTGTACTCTTGGCCAGACAGGAAAGTAAAGGCCTTGATGATATCAGAGGGCTATCTACTCTGAAAACTTTAGAAATATTTTAAAATGACCAACATATAACATTAGTATGAGGCAATGAATTGTTGTCCTCATTTGTTCAAATACATATTAAGCACTTTAATATGTTTTCAGTGTATTTATGAAGTGTTTACCAGGGAACAACTGCTCACTTTGTGTAAATCACTTTAGTAGTTGCACAGTTTGTGATTGTTTGTGATTATGCTTATCTAGTATGATGCAGTTTTATATAACCCAGGCTCATTGGAGAAACGTATCTGTGGCAACATTTCTGCAAAACAATATTTCGAACGTGATATGTCCAGCGAGTGTCGCTAAAACCACGTTTAGCTTTATCCAAAACAGATGAACATGAATCTGGCAACATTTTATTCGTAAGCTATGTTGGCTGTTGTACGTACACACATACAGTAGTTACATATTTGGAGTTTTGCGAAAAATGTAGATGCACGTTTTTCCAATAAACTTGCCCAATTGGCCATATAGGTGCATTCACGGCATGTTTGAATTACAACTTCTAAAAGGTGTTCACATCCTTGTAGTACTTGTAATTACAACTTGTAAAGATGGAATTTTCTGAGAACACCGACTTGTGCCACCCGACCGCTGCAACATCATGCAAACACTAAAAATGGCAGCTGCTTCAGCTGTAAAATGCAGTTATTTTGTGATACTTCTGTTTAATAATTACTATAACTGACTGATAATCTTAATAATCAAGGATAATATGAAAATAAACAAAAGACATACAAAGTTTAAGGCATTTGAATTGCTTGTTGTATTGTGGATTTGTCTACCCACCTTATTTTTAATGTAAGAGTGGCATAACCGTTTTTAACTTGAATAACTTGAACCATAATAACGTCATGGCGTGAACGCAGCATACTGTATATATCTAACAAAGAGCTAATCATTTTCAAAATGGATAAAAAACCAGAAATCGTTTAATGAAAATAAATATTAAATGAAATATACAATTAATTCATATACATTTTAAATATTGTATATACATTTGGTTGGTATAGTTTGACTTTGATTTTGGTCTCAAATACTGTACATTATGAACTACCTTATCTGTACCATATAAATCATTCATTTCAGCACTAGACTTAAACCTACCCTTCGCTTTGGTATTTTTAGACATTGTGCTTGTTTCTCTTAGGCTCAGTGGTTTGAGTATTTCCTGACCTTGAGCCTCTCAAAACTAATCACTACTTGAGAGGCTCCCGTATCTGGCTACAGATCACAAAAGGCAGTTCATCCCAAGGCACAGCCCATTTCCCTGCCTATCTAAACAAAGGAAATGGGCCTCAAATGCACAGTAAACCACTAATGGTAATTTACGCATGTAGTTCCCCAAAATGGAGCCGTGGTTCTCATTTTGTACTCCTCATACATAATGTTTCGATTTATCTTCAGTCCTGTGATGTTTTTTATGAAGATTGTTTTTGGTTATGGCAGGTTTCACATTGTTAATGAAGTTTGAGTAGCTAGGGAGCATGTCCTCCGCTAAAGGAGGCTCTCTTTTATCCCAGTCTAACCCTGATGCAGGGTAGCCGTCATGCGCCACAGGAAGAAAGAGATGGCTTCTTTCCTCAAATGATGGTATTTGAGCTTTAGCTGGTGCTGTTCTAGAAGAGGTCGCCCTAATATGTTTATTAATTTCCTCCTCACATTGATATCTCTTCTCTAGTCGATGGGTTACTGCTAGCTGAAGCAGATGGAGAAGCTCCACAACGTTGAGGAGAACAGAGACTGCGGCAATGACCTGTGTGTATATGGTGAAGATTGTTTTTTCTGTGGGTCGTGAGACAAAACAGTCCACCGTGTGAGGACAGGGAAACCTCTCGCACTCGTACTTGGCCTTGATTACAAACCCATAAAGGATCCATAGACCCACAATGAAGCCAATCTCAATGAGAACCTTTAGCACTATGCTAGTTGCATAAGCGCACAGCAGTTTCCCCTTGAGCTTTAGAGGTACCTGAGCTTTGTGGTTCTTCCCCATTTCCTTCTCCTCGCTCACTTCGTCTTCCTCCTTTATTACCTCCATCTTAAACTCGTTGGTTTTTCTATGTCTCTGTGTTCTGCCCTCCTCCTCTGGCTTACCTTCTGGCCTGTTTTCATTTCTAGTCCTCAGGGCCACATAGCCAAAGTAGAAAATGGTTGGTGCTGAGACGAAGATGACTTGCAGAACGAAGAAACGGAAGTGGGAGATGGGAAAGGCCTTGTCATAACAGACGGACTCACAGCCAGGCTGTTTGGTGTTGCAGACAAAGTCAGACTGTTCGTCGTCCCATGCAGATTCGACCGCTGTGCCAAGCACAAGCATACGGAAGAGGAAGAGCACGGTTAGCCACACGCGTCCCACACCAGTCGAATACTCCTGACCTTCCTCTAGCAGGTGCTCCAGAAAACCCCAGTCAGCTCTGGACATCCTCTGCACAAGCAGAAATACAGGCTTGAGAATGTGAGCCATATATAGAAACACTTTCTGATTTTTCTCTAAATTATCCAAATAGACATCAGTAAACAGCATGAGTCACTCTTAAGACCACCTCGAAGAATAATGCCTCTGATCATTCAGGTTGTCCAGATTTAATAAGGAACAGACTGATTCTGTTTTTTATTTCTCTTGCAATTATTAAAGCAGGTTGCATCTGGAAACACGTTTTTCTGTTTAGTCATTTATAAGTTTGCATGGGCAATTTGTAAGTTTGCTGAGGTGAGACCATTTTATCAACAGCTGTAAAATGTACTGAAGTGATTCCAAAAGCTGTGGAGAAGTGTGGCTTATGTTAACATTTGCTCATTAATTATTTAGTATAACCTAGTTGCAATTTAAGTCAAGCTGTAATCAATCATTAGATACATATACATTTGAGCTTGGTAAAATTGTTTTATGTTTTTGATAGAAGTCTCTTTTTAAAATGTAATTTATTACTGTGATGACAAAGCTGGATATTCCAGTCATCAGTGTCACATGATCCTTCAGATATCATTCTAATACATGCTGATTTGCTGCTCAAGAAACATTTCTTATTATTGCCAGTGCTGCTTAATAGATTTGTGGAAATTCATTCATTCATTCATTCATTCATTCATTCATTTATTTATTTATTTATTTATTTTCAGGATTATTTAAGTTCAAAATAACTGCATTTATTAGAAATACAAATATTTTGTACCATTATAAATGTCTTACTGTCAAGAATGATCAAATTACTGTGTCCTTGCTAAATAAATAAGTAAATAACCCCACACTTTTGAACGATACTATATTGGAATGCACAATATATAATTTAGTTCCCTATCTGTCGGTCACTACGAGTTATGTCGTGACGACATTAGTTAGACTCCTAATGTCGTCACGACATCTCCGTCCCCTCCATCAGGGAACGAGGGTTACCTACGTAACCGAGACGTTATCAGCCAATATGAGTGTTTTGGTTTATCTTTTATATTGTATATATTGTATCAGTTGATTATTGGATAATTAATTGTGCAGGGTCATTTAGTCTATTTTGATTACACTTTCCGTTATCTAAAACTCACTTAGTTAAATTAATATTTAAAAACACTAAAAATTGAATAGCGTTTAAGTGTAATCTTTAGTAAATCTCAAAATGAATATCCACCGTACATTATAATGTTGTGATGCTTACTGCCTTGTAGTGAATGTAACTGGTTTTAGTTTTTAGTGTTTTATTTGTAATGTATAAATAAAAAGAACAGTAAATAATTGAATAAAACTAATTTTATATAATTAAATTATCAGATATATGCATTTACATTAAAATACATATTGGTATTGGCGATAATTTGAATATTGAATATACATCTTGAGTACGTATGTATGCATATACAAGTTATCAAGCTAAATGACCATTTAAACAATGATAGAGAGAAAAGTGCATGGATGACCGACCCTGGCCCCTGTGCAATGAGAGTTAGTTATCATGGACAGAGGGTTTAATAATGTGCAATCAAGCATGTACTTCTAACGAGAAAGCTTGTCTCTTTTCACAGAAAGCCCATGGGTATCATGGCCGCAGCATTCCCTCTTGAAACAATTCACATTTATGTAAACATCCCATCAACACTGCTAGATGGCAAACTTTTCAAATCTATTTGCTTATTTATTTTCTACTTTCTTTTGGCTGGAGGCTTGGTTTGTTTGCATTTGCTTACACAAACAGGCAGATGTGTTCTAAACTTCTAAAATTGTTCTAAGAAGTACTTTTGTGCCATGGCTAAAGGGGTTATCTTAAATAGATTTAGCCAGAGGAACTGTCTGCAGTTATGTCTTGTATAATAAAGACATATGAATTCTCAGAAAGTTTAGCTAACAGACATTTAACGCTGCCAGGAATCTGGTTATCAGTATTCATCTTTATCAAGCAGCACTAAACAGTTCTCAGAAATGTCTATAATGCTTTTTTTTTTTTAATTTCTAGTTTCAAGTTTCAGTTTCTTTTTTTCTTTCTTTCTTGAATATTATGAACACATATGTAGTCTACAGTAAGATGTGTGTATATATATATATATAAACTCCACTTCTACAATCAGAGCTAAAACCATCACAAAAAGTGGAAGTGTTTTCAATCATATTCAATAAAAAGTCAATAAAATAAATAATAAATATAATTAAATAAATAAATAAATATTATATACAGCAGTTCAGACGTTAATGAATATTCAAATATGAATATGTAAATTTTAAAAAAAGAACAAAAGGACAACTATATATGTCAAACATTAAATAACATACTTTGGTTAAAAGTAAAATACGTTGTTGAATTAAAATTAAATATTACGTAGCTTCACTCTCATTACATGTTCAAGGCTGAACTCTAAAACACAGTTTATCATATATGAGTGCTCTTACCTGTCAACCCTGTTTTATGTTTATCTTCTGTTATCTGTGTAAGGAGATTCTGCCGCTGAGAGTTTTATAAGGACTCGTGGTCGAAGCACAGCTGCTTAATCAGAAACAAGAAACAACTGAGGGAAAGGAAACTTTCCCATGCCTTATAGTGGCCCTCCCACAGGAACTCAGTGCAGGAAAAGGAATGGATGGATTCAAAAATAGATGTTCTGTGCTGAGCCTTTCAAAGGCCAATCTCGTCATGGAGAATTACAGTGTTTGAACATTAATATTGCAGTCTGACCTAACTTCAGTTATAAATATACATATGTTTCTACATGTACGTCAAAGCTTACCCTTATGAAAAGACAAAAGATTGTTTTTAGTTTGCACTTAAATGACATATTGAGCAGAACCCTACAGCATGGTTTAAAATAATTACATATGCAGTTATGCAATTGGTATGTAACTTTGTATACTCCATTAACCTTAAGTTATTACATTTTTAGGAGATTGACAGCAAACATGTATGGAGAAACAGATCTGTGTATTCTCTATCTTCACCACAGGGAGGCCCTATAGACTAGCAATGAAGAGGCAGATGGATGCACAGAGCAATGCACATGCAAAAAATGACAAATTATTGTTATTTAATTGTTAATTTGAGCACAAATCGATCTTTTTTTTTCTTCCATGTGCAGGTTAAAGACCAGCATGAAATGAAATTCTGCTTAAAAAGGCATAATAAATTGATGGCCAGAATAATTCAGATGGTTAACATGTTGATATGAGGCACTCTCATATTAATAGTAAGCTGGATCCACGTTTCATCCTTTCTAATACCTCAGTGCATTCGGTTATAAGAGAAGTTTATCCTTTGACTGAGGTAACTAAATAATGAATATGTTTAAAGTGATTATTTAATTTAAAGCGAAGAGCTTGTTGTGCGCTCACTTATGAATTTTTTGGAGAAATAATATTAATAATTCATGTACATATGAAATATTCATTCTCATAATGCTTTTCAGCCTCTTCCTTTGTTTGCTGCATTTTGAAAACATTTTAGTAGGCTACAGTTAGCACAGACCGTAGCAGAGAAATCTGCTCCTAAAGCCTGACGAACTCCTTTGGTAATTCCTAGATAACCCTGTGAAAAATTATCGTTGATATAAAAAATAGAAGGACTCAAGAATAAGAAATAATAACGACCTCAGTGTTTATTCCCCATGGTCGTCTTTTCCTTGTACTCAGCATCGCAGAAAGCAGAAACAGTTTTCCAGAGAACCATTCCAATCAGTGATGCACTATAAAATCTGTCAATATGCTGATAAATTACTGACATAAAGACTTCTGTTTAATCTGCCGGCAGGTTACAGGCAAGAAAGCATTTCTAAAAGCTGGTTAAATTGACAGTGAATCACCCTGACAAGCAAAGCTCTCAGTGCAGGATTGTTATTATGCTCAGAACTGTTTGCTTTGAGCAGTAAAAGGTGCCAACATTTATGATACCCAACAATTATCCTGGAACACATTATTTATTACATGAATTAGTAATTCTGCATAGTCTACTATTAGGCATTAACAGAGTTTTTATTATATAAACTAATTGTTAACATAGCATTATGTAATTATTCACTGCCCCTTACGTTGTTCCAAACTCCAATTACTTTCTTTCAATTTTTGAAGAATATCCTGGCCTTTTTACAATGTAATGAAAGTGAAACAGAGCTGGGGCTGTGAAGCTCCAAAATGACGAAAAACATCATAAACATGGTCCATATTGTGCACTATATTCAAAGTCTTCTGAAGCTTGACATTTTCTTTATTCGCTGAAAAATACTTCACTGATAAACTCTTTGAGAGTTGTCTATATATAATTCTAATTGAATAAGATGTTTGTTTTTTGCTTTGTTGTTTTGTTTGCTGTTTGTGTGTGTGTGTGTGTGTGTGTGTGTGTGTGTGCGTGTGTGTGTTTGTGTGTGTGTGTGTGTT